TGCCCCGAGGGACCCTGGCTCAGAGCCCAGCACGGCCTGCAGTTTGGGAGCGGGGAAGGGTGAGATCCCTAGGCCTGAAGGAGCTACATCCGGGTCAGCACATGATAACTGGGCAGGTGCCTGCCATGAGGCACCTCTTTGCACATCATGACTCAGAACCAGTGTGACACTGCCTTCCACAGTGGCCTGCCTTGCTTCATCCTGTCTGTTTTGAAAGTTTCCACATGTGTGCTTTGCTGTGACTAGTATCTGGATGCCCGTCTCCACATCCCCCCCCACTTGCATGTATGCTATATACAACGGCAGAACGGGCTTTTTGCTGAGTTCCGCAGCCCCACTGTCTCCCCACCTGTGCCTCTCAAACACTACACTTCTAATACATAAAAGCTGTTTTTCTCCATAAAAGAGATCCCAGTTTGGTGTTATGTATTTTAAACAAGTACAATATTAAACTGTCCCCCAAAATTCATGTCACCAGGGGTCACAATTTCAAGTCTCCAGCCAAAACTGTGCAACTGTGAATGTAGCTTTTCAGTTGATTTGTAAAAGACACTGACAGCCTCTTCCCATCTTAAGAGTCTTCATTCATCATGCAATATTATAAACCCTCCTAGCCCCTTCAATTGGCTAAGGTACTATATTTTTAAAAATGTATTTCTTTGAAAAATTGGCCCAGTGCAGTCTTCAGAATTCTTTTTTATTTCACGGGCATTTTTTAGCAAGTGATAATGTAGTCCTTAGAAAGCCATGGCTGGAGGATTGCTTATGCCTAGAAATTCAATGCCAGCCTCGGCAATATAGCCAGACCTCGCCTCAAAAAGTAAAAATAAAAAGATAACAAAAGAATACACCCATAATTCCTCTAAGCCAAATTTTGTGTATAATAACAAAATAAATCTTCTGTTTATCTTAACCACCAGATCTGTTTTTGCATTCTGATAAGCAAATTCTATGACACACTTAAAAGTTATGCTCATACTATGTTTTTCTCCTAGCTATAAATAAAAATATATTTTACCTGTACCATTACACTGTGACAGTACACCTAAGAAAAAGTTATTTTAATATTGACCTGAAGACAGCTTTTAAAAATTGTATTATCAGACATATTGAAAGATAAATTATTCCAGCATTCGATAATTTTGAAAAGAAATGGACAAACCATAACCTGCCGCTTATAAAGAACATCTCCCACTGAAATGTTAGGAATCATTTCATGGTTATTTAAATGAGACAATCTAGAGATATTTGGCAGAAACAATTTTGGGGCAGTTTTTTTTAGAATGATGTATCTCCTTCCTTAAAATCATAACTCTCTTTATATTTTACAAGAAAGCTTATTACATAAATTATCTTAGTGTATATCCTACCTATATCTTTTACAAAGCTTGGGAATGAGATTCAACTAGAGAAAGAATGAAGTGTTTTAAAAAATATAAAATGCTTTTGAATTTGGGGTGATTGAAATCCAATGTAGTTCATATAAAGAATTAGGGACTTACTTCCATGAATTAATTTCATCTTGCCTTGGCTGAGAAGACTTAGTTCTTAGAAAATGAACTTTGTAGTCAGGACAAGGAGTTATAAAGAATAAGACAGAGGAAACGACCTTAGCTTGGGACAGTATCAGATTTCAATTTAGGCTAACAGAACTGCCTCTGATCTGTTTGACAAATCCAGTGTCTTCAGCAAGGCCATGTACTGAAGCAGATTGGTAATGGTATTAGTCACTTTCACAGTTCCGGGATCAGTAGCCAACACTCATGCCCTAAAGGATGAAAGGTGGATTAGGTTCATATGTCACATTGTTGACTGTCCCCAGGAATAATATTCTCTGGAATATTATGGGAACAGGGCAGAGTTGAGCAAAGCTGCTTAGTTTGTGGCAGCTATGAAACAGAACAAGGGAAAAGAGCTGAAGAGGAAGGAGCAAGGGATCAGAGGTAGACACCAAGGCTACGCCACCCAGAACTGTGATCGACATGCTGTCGAGTGGCTTCCACCGCCCATCAAGATGACAGTCTACCTTAACTACCACAAGAGCTTATTTGCTTCTCAAATCAAGTAGATAGAGTACATGGTCAGTCTTTCCTCTTTTATAATATAACTCCCATCCTGGAATCATGATTTTTAAATTACATGTTCTATTTTAGGTACCATTGAAGAATCTTGAGGATTAGTATATAAATCTATTGGAACTGTCTTTGGTTTTGGAACTTTTCACCCAGTACAAACACAGCACACGCCATTCAGTTTTACTGATCTGTTCATTACTTACAGGAATGTTTGGCTCCAAATGAACCTTTAAGGTGTGTGTGTAAGTGTGTGTGTGTGTGTGTGTGTGTGTGTGAGTTATCAAAATGCTGAAGTGTGTAGCCCTGGATTTTGTATCCATGCTTTCTAGAAACTGAAATATCTGCAAGCCTTTCTCAGTTGCCCTATGGGAGAGAAATTATTTTGCAAAATGAGTACATAAGAAAAGTTGCAAACCTATACTCGAGCCCAAGAAGCAAGGTCAGCATGATGGGCCAGTGAAGAAATGTAGATGGCTGCCCTGGGCATCCTTTTGAACTTTGCTATTTAATTCTGACCTTTCTTTTCTATCCAAATCTTATAATTTATCATTTTTCTCTTTTTTCTGTCATTTTCCTAGAGCCTTAGTTCCAATCTGTTTTTAGACTGTTCTGTAGGAGTCACACAGTGAAATCATAAGAGGCTGGGGACATGCCAGATATGGCTGTACAGTGAACTAGCTGTGTAACTTTGAGGCTCTTAACTCAGTTAGTCCTCAATTTTCTTATCTGTAAAATGGGAATAATACCACCTACACTGCAGCATTGTTGTAAAAATCAGTAATATTTTATTTAAAATACACATGCCCTAACATTCCCCTTACTTTTGTATACGATTGCATTTTTCCATAAGTTGTTTTACAAAGCCCTTAATGTTAGCAGTATCCCCTCTCTCAGTTACCACTGATTTAGTGTAATACCCCAATTCCTCTATCTGCAAACCTTTTTCTCCCCTAGCTTCCACTTTTATCCCTTCACAGCCCTCAGTTCCTTACAGATCTGTCACAATGGCTCAAGGGGTCATCTCAACTAAGTATTAATTCTCTTGAGTCTTTGCATTTTCCTAACTGCATAGGATAGCAGAAGGCATTGGGAAAAATCCTTACTACTACTAATTATTTCTTTAGCTAATATTTGCTGAACATTAATTATATGCTAAGTCCATTCTCCGTACTTCACATTACTAACTTGATCCCAAAACAACACTCTGCATACATTATTGACTTCTTTTACAGATGAGGAGATCTAGTGAATAAGAGGCTTCATAACTTGTACAATTTACATACTAAGAATGTGGCAGGGCTGGAATTGCGACTCAGGCTTTAACCAGAATAAAACCCATTTCTTTCCCACGTTGTGCAGGGCCTCTACGAACTGCTTCTTGGTTCCTTACCAACCTCTGCTCTTGCCTTTCCTGCTATGCATGGCATTTTCTACAGTCTTTAGGCTACTCACTGTAGCTGCTCGGATGCACGGTGTTCTTTCTTACTCAGTCACTCTGCCCCTCTCAACTTTATCTCCTTCTGGTTTCTCCCTCTCGTACATTGGTTTCCTCGCCACTTCCACACCCCAGGCCCTCTCTCCCTGTGGGTCATTTTGCTGGGTTTGCCCTCAGAAGAGATCTTTTGATTGACATTCTGGCTTGGCCATTTATTAGCTTTCATACCCTATGATCTCTCTGCACTTCAACTGCTTCCTCTATAAAATGATCATAAAACCTGATGTCCAACCTTCCTAGTGTGGGGTTCTATGAATAATACTACAAACAACAGGTGTCCCTTGGCAAATATAATTCTGGAACTAACGGACTGCAAAATATCTGCTTCCTCTGAAGTGTACATTTTTTCCTTTTTTCTGCTTCTGTTTTCTGCCCTTTCTTTGTATGATCTGGCAGCCCCCAGAACAGCTCGTCTCATTGTGAGCAGTGATCTAGTTTGAACATTGCCTATGTGCGCCTTGTGCTACAGGGTGGCTCGTGAATGCTGTTTTAGGCCAGTTGGGTCCTTTTCAGACATTTGCAAGTGAGCAGACAATTCCTGTCAGTGATGGTCATGTCCAGGAAACATTCTGTGCATACTATGTCCACTTGATTAAAGAATACTGGCTACCTAGGTCACATAATTGCCTACAGAAATGTGGCAAATCCTTCTTCCTATTGATCTATGCTAAAAAAAAATAAAAATAAAAAAATAATGGAAAAAGTCCCCTGAGCCCTGGCTTCTCATTTTCCTCCAAGTAGAATGCTGCACAACTGTTCTTGCCTTGCCCTGTGCCTTCAAGACACGTTGTGCTGACACCTTACGCCTGTAGCCCAGGCATGGGGTAGAGATTGCTTTAGCAACAGCACACCCAGGGTAACATTTCCCCGTAACTACAGTGGCTGGGACATGAGTCAGTTGAAAAGTTTCACGGAGTTTTTATTAGTGTCTGATGCAGTCCCGTGTCATCTACAGTTCCGGGGCTGTGTGAGAGACCTACACATGATGGTGCAGAACACTTGATGCTAATCACCTTCAAGTGTTAGATGGCCCAGGGTCCTTTCACAGAAGCCACTGCAGCAGTGCGTTTCTTCCAACTGCACCCCTCACTAATACCTCCAATATAAGGTCAAGAGTGAAACTCAGGCCCAAGTGCCAGAACTCTATTCCTACGAATGCGTATCCTGTGTGCCTAAAAAGCAACAGTGATGCTGGTGGATGATTGAGGAGCTTCCTTCTGTCATCACTCAGGGAGCTGGACAATGGTTCACAGCCCGGAAGACATGGTTTTGACCCAGTGGCTGGGAAAGACATATGCAGAAGAATAAGGATGGAACTACTGTAATTCTCTATGGGGATTTATGGAAGTGGAACTTGCCGCTTAATATTGATCAGAAGGGTTTGCAGAGTTATTGGTGACCTCTAACACAGGATTTGGTTTATTTTTCAGACATGGAGATGACTTGATTGTGACTCCCTTTGCTCAGGTAAGCACAGCTTGGCAAGTGGGCAGGCTTCTCACACAGAGGGAAATTTAAGTTGGGGTTTTGTTCTAGTATTTAATTTAATTTTAAATCAAATGCAAGTAAAAATACAAATTGTGTGGTCCATCTAGTAATTCAAAGGCAGTGCCAGATAATATGATTTTGGCCTTTATAGACCTAGTTTCTATATCCCTGTAGACCCAAAGTGTATCTTTTCTCACATGGCAATTTATCTAAGGCATATAGGAATTAAATGGGTCCACAGTTCCTTAACTGACATGAACACAAGAGGCAGAAGGCTATATCATGGATTAAATTACATTTAGTATAATTAGGTACATGATCAGTGCTTGAAATTCAATAATCCAATTCAACCTGATACCTTATTTACTCCTTTGTACAAGTGTTATTTGCACAAAGATTTAGCTGAGTGGTGTGCTTATGCTTGTTCCTTTTAGGCATAGGTACCATGAAAACATTTTTACCACACAAAGTAGAAGCAAAGAGGTGATAAGATGATTTAAAGGGTTTTGGAACATGTATAAAAGTGTGAATGACAGGATGTTCTTGTTACAGACGAGTGTGTGTTTCGACTCTAGCTACACGTAAGATTCACCTCCAGAGCTCTTATAACAGTGTCAAAACTTCCCCTGATCAATTAAACCAAAGCTTGGGGGTCAGATGCAAGCATCTGCATTTCTCAAAGGCTGCAGTGCTTTTACAGTGTGTGCAGTGTAGAACTTGAAAGCCCCTGGTGTAGACAACCGGGTAGAGAATGGAATAAACCTAATCTAACCTGGATAACAATGCAGTGTTAAAGTCAACCTTGAGTAATTTAAAAATGCTAAATATTGAAATATAAGTAATCCTGAGAAGTTACAAGAATTATAATCAGAGTTGGCCAAAATACTAAACCCTTTTCCTGTCATGCTATAGGCTTAAGAATTTCATAGTAATTTTGGTGAGAAAGCCATGGGGCTCTCAAAATATCTTATTGCATAAAAAAATTAGAAGAATAAATGTAAGCAGAAGGAAGAAAATTTCCCATAATCACAAACCCCCAAATTAGCTACTGTCGGCATTTATTTTATACCCAATTAGGCTTATTTTTCCATGCATGATTAGCTCCTTTATGACTCATAAAAATATCCACCAATGTCTAAAGTGGTAAAAGATCTCCCAAACCCAGCATCATCATCACCTTCCTCCTCAGAATCCATTTCTTTGTGCCCGGGTACGTCTCTAAAACATGAAAGTATCTTTCCAAATCATGGTTTCCTGTAAATCAAAGGCAATAAAGTCCTGAAGTACAAGAGAATTTAGGACATCATGCAAAGCTATATCCCACTTTACTTTCTATAGCTGAAACCTAAAACTTCTTAGATAGACCTAAGTTTCACAAAGGATCTTATAATATCCATCCATGTTTTATTCTGATATGAAAAACACCTTCAAAGTTAAAACTTCAGGCTAGCTTTTAACCTAAACTCTTTTCTACCACCAATTTTCCATGCTTTAACCTATAAGGGAATCAGAATTCCCTTGACCCCCAGAAAAATGTCAGCTATAATTTGTATATTTCAAAATAGAAATGTTCTCTGATTTCAACTTAGAGCTATTCTCTGATGTTTGTGTTGAAATCTTTCATTGTGAATATCTCCTTAGGCTCCAAGGCTGGGTTGGGTGTAGGGAGAAACCCCCTGCCCTAAACTACAGCATGCCAGTTGGCCATTAGCCTTGACCTGTCCATGAGTGTAACACTTTGGAGCCAAAGTACACTAAGGATGCACAGCACTGCTGAAATGTCAGAGCCCTTTCTCTGTCCTCAGCTGCCTCTGGTCCTGGCCATGTTGTTTGTGATGATGTCTCCCTTGTAAAACTCTCTAAGTCTCTCTAACTCTCTAAGAGTTCTCACCTTTTAACATACAATGTTAAAATGACTGGAATTTTTTGATGAAGAAAAAGGAAAAGCCCACCAAAATATTATCCTGGATCCTTGAGGAGACCGTTACATCATGCAGACTAAGGCGATATGGCTGATTTGAGAATACAGGGTAGGAACAACTGCATAAATTTGCCTTTAACCAAACTACAGCACATGAGATACTTTTAGAAAAAAATGCTGTGGTTATTAATGCTGTAAAATGTTACTACTCCAGAGGTGGTAGGACATTACCAGCATTTGTAAAATGTCCCTGCCTGTCTTTCAATTTCACCCAGCAGCAGGGATCTTATGGCCTCATGAAAATCCCCAAATTTGACAAAACCATCAGGCTCTCTGTGTTAGGCAGTAGTAGAAGATGGTTGTCTCACCTAAGTTGCTTTGGGTAAAGGGACTGTTCTTTACCCTTCATTGATATAAATTACAATTAACATCCTTTTAGATGTCTGAATTCATGTTAAAATAAATGAGATGAAATTGTCAGTAACTTTTTACATACAAGGACAGTTTCACCTGGGAAGACTTTTGCTTTTCAATCAAAATGACCTTTTTGTCTTAAACATAATTCTAACTTGAGTCAAACCCAGGTAAGGAATTCTTTCATCTCCCATCAACAACCCTCGCTTGCACAACCCTGCATCTCAGGGCCTGTGCTTTACCCCCACCTAGTGGCACAAAGTGTATATGGTATGAAAAAAAATCAGAACTGTTTCTCTCTAGGCTGTTATGTATGTTCAGTTAACATTAACTTTTCGGTGCAGCCCACACTTTTCTGCTGATTACAGTGAATTCTGTTGGTTAATAAATTAAAAGCACCTAAAAAGTCTAAGAGTTGTGTGTGTAAATAGCATCCCAGCCCCACAGGCTAATATGTGAGCTATGTTTGTCCAAAACCTCTCTGTATTGCCATCAGGATTTCTTCTGTAAAAAATATATATCTATCTATAGATATGTATGTATAGATATAGAGATACACAGATAAATATTTTATCATTTGGAATTTTCTTTTTTTTTTTTTACCTTGACCAATCATACCTTTACTTGGAGATATAAAAAAGAAAGGAATGACCTCAATTTCTACCAGTGGGCAATGTGGAAGAAATCTCAGGGACCTCTGTGGCTAGCAAGGTAGAAAATTGTTCAGTAAAGCTCTGGCTACCACTCTTAGTGGGCTGAATTAATTCAGGGAAGTGACAGCCACTGTGGAGCAAAAGCAAAGAATAGTTCAACCTTAACTCATGGGGCCCTAATGAAAGGTTCCATTTCTCCTCACTCCTAAAGCAGCAGTTACCAGCCCTGTGTGCCCTGCAAGTGCAAGGAAGCCCTTAAAAGACAAACACAATAATATTTGTTATTTTTTTAAAAAAAACCAGATTCAATCAGGCAGGCCCAGGGCAATACCCTTTAAAAGATGAGTTTGACACTATTCTTAATATTTCTGCAGGTATCTCATGTGTCATAGTGCAGAGGGTAATCATTAACACTTGATCTGAAATTTACAAAATACTGTTTTCCTGATACAAAAACAGCGATCTAAGATAGCACACCTGAGGAATGATGTGTCTTCAAGTTTACTTACTACAGCAAGGTTTGTAAAAGCAAACTTTAAGGGACAGCCCTGGCGACAGTAGCTGAATACATGAAGAGGGGACAGGAGAGAGATTTCCTCTTTTCACATTTTATTTCAAAATATTTCATGCATATAATAGAATATACATAGGGACTATGTAAACAAAAATAATAATATTATGATGAAGAATTTAAGAAGTAGAACAGATTTTAATATTGCATATCTTCCTCCAGTTCCATCAATCTGCCTCTTCTTAGAAATAACAATCATTTTGATTTTGTCTTGATAACCTTCTTTTCTGTTTAAATTCTGAAGAAGGCTAGGATAGGGATTATTTTTAAAAAAAGAAATACATAAAATTGCTTTAAAACCCAAACAAAATAATCTAGTAGCTTCATTATTATAGTAGAGGAAAATAGTTCTGTGGAAAATATTTCTTTCAGAAAACTGTTTTTTTAAGAATTAATTTTCTTGCCAGGCATGGTGGTGCATGCCTGTCATCCAAGCCCTTGGGAGGCTGAGGCAGGAGGATCACTGTGAGTTCAAGACCAGCCTGGGCTACAAAGTGAGCTCAAGACCAGCTTGAACTCTATAGCAAGACACTGTCTCAAAAAAACAACAACAAAAAAAATTAATTTTCTTTCAAATAAGCATTGAACGTGAATTACCTATAATACTATCAATGTTTACCATGGTCAAATGTAGTGAACTTAAAAACCAGGTATAATAATAAAATCCTCAGAATGCTGAGGCTGAAATTTTTGCCTACATAAGGAATAAGTTAGTTGGTGCTATAGTCTTACTTAGAATGCTTTATTAGTGCATTTGATATTCACTTCTTAAGTCATAAATTAAGCCTGGGTGATTTAATGACAGTGGGTCCTTTATCCAATCTGTTTCTGCATCATTCAAGGTTTCATGCCTCTTAGAAGACGCCACGGTCTGAAGTCAGCTGTTAGCTATTCGAATCCTCGACTCTGTCACAGCAGTGTGACCTTTTAGAGTGTGAGCTGTTTCTGTGTGATAATGAGCCAGGTTTTTCCAGTGACTGAGCTAATCACAGTTGGCTCTTGAAGAAGTGTCATCCACTTCTACAGGGAAATTTTGTAGGTCACTGTCGCAGAGAATACCCAGCTCCCTTTGACTTGCTTGGATTTATATCAATATCCTCCTGCCCGCAAAAGGGATATTTTTGTTTTAGAAAAAAAAAATATGGACTAACTGTAGTCTAGATCTGTGTTAGATTTAAAACAAAAACAAAAACAAACAAAAAAAAAAACTTTGGAAACAATTCCAGAAGCCTTGGAGCAATTAGAAATTTGGGAGGTGGCTTGGTCTACCACCGGTAGACAGTAAGTAAATTCTGAATGTGCTTGCCAGATCAGTAACCAAATGAAGGCTACCATAATGGGCCTGCAGTTATCCAGTGCTTCTTGCTTAGTTGGCACTGTTCTTAGCACCTAGCCTGCCATTTCCTATGACCCTCACAACAGTCCTGTGACGTAGCCATCACTCCAGGGTTACAGGAGAGGAAACAAAGGTAGAACAGAGTTTCTCTAACTTGTCTAATTTTCCACATTTAATATATAACAGAGTGGACAGTCCAGCTTGTTAACTCATACCTACCAGAGCATTTGATTTCTGTGCCTTAGATAAGCTTAGAGTATCAGTTGGTACCAAGATCACTTACAGTCCTACCCAGTGAGAGTTCCACTTTGGGGAAATGTGGTCATTGTAGGAGAGTGAGGGGCAGCAGGTTCTTGTAACTTCACTCTCAGTCTCATATTACTTCACTATGCACTTTGCGGTTCCAACTGGAACTTTTAAACATAAGGTGCTATCAGAGGTGGTGGCCTCTGCATGTCCTGCCTTGTCACACGTGTGGATGTATTGTGTCTATGTATTCACTTATTCAAAAAAATTATACCGATACACAGAGAAGTAGCATTTTATATAGGACATAGAGCCTGATGACTTTTCATAACCCACAGTTCAGGTAACTTCGACAGAAGCATAGAATACCCATGAACTAGCGTGAGAAGCCGTGTGGCAAAAAGCACAATTTAAAATTCACATAGCTGTTTTGGCTGGAAATTATGGGCTTCTTGGTGAATTTTTGAAGACTACTTGGGGGTGATCTTATTTCCAATTTTAATGTTTTATTATATCTTACATTATGCTATTTCATATTTACAGCCATCCCACATGTATATTGACTAGGATATTGTCTGAGTGACTAAAAAAATCCAGAAATGCTGTGGCAGCTGCTGTTATTACTAGTATATTCATAAATAATATGAATGATTTCTGGAAAATCTTTGCAGTCTCACCTCCATAGATTTCATATGCGCATACACAAACTTCTCTTAGTGCTGGGAGATTCTTTATTGGCATATAAAAGTAATTGTAAGACATGTTTTCTCTTTAAAAACCTTTTTAATAGCATCTAAAATGCCACCAGTTCAAGGAGTCTAAAGAATTCATTTTTGTTATAGGTCTTGGCCAGCCTGCGAACTGTACGAAATAACTTTGCTGCACTGACTAATTTGCAAGATCGAGCACCAAGCAAGTAAGATGTACCTTTTGTTTGTTTGTTTTCCTTCTTGTTAAACTTTTACAAGTTCATCTTTTCTCCATTTAGATGCAGTTCAAGGCATCTCTGAAGGCAACTCTGAATCACTGCCATGTTGTCTAACCATGTACCCTAAATCATGAGATGTCCTGTTAATTTTCTATAAATACTTTGAAGTGACAGTTGTAATATCAGAAATGAAATGGTATGACAAATAAATATGGTGATTCCATCCGTGAGAAATCAGCTGGCATGGTCAGTTCTCTGCCAGGTTATGTACTTACACTCAGGGTAACTTTATAGGTTTGGCTTACCACTTAAATTAACCACAGACAAATAATCTTGTCCAGATTTAAAGTCAACACAAAGTCACCTTCCTAAGTCTAAAACAGGAATTAATTGCAGAAAACCCATATCAAGCAGTTGTCTGCTTTTACTGCCTCTCAGGTCAGCAGTATTCATGGAACAGTTAATAAAACTGTGATTGACAAGGTAGCTATGGAAGCATTTGAAGAAGAAAAATCTGAGAGGGAAAGTGATTATAATTGGAAGGTCCTGATAAAGGCAAAAATCTTTTTAAAAAGTTAATTTGCAAGATTAAACAGACAACTAGCAAGCTGTTATTCAAATTTCCCTTATTTTAAAAAACTATTGATTATAAAATATTAAAATAATCAACCTCAAAGAATTTTTCAGAAGATAAAACTATTTAAATCAGTATTAAGAGGAGAGTAAATAGAAACTTAACTTGGATTATAGCATATTTAAGTGTATAAAATTTTACAATATTTGTATTTCTTAAAGAATATGAAAAATCTAAACTTTCCATTCCACAATAATATAATTTACCTTTCATATGCCCTGGTAGTTCATGACTAAAGAAAGATCTGGCCTTTATGCAAGTACTTCTTGTGATAGGACATGGCTTTCAAAAATTAGTATAGACTTGATCTTAGCCAAAAGGCCAAGAAACGATGTCAAAAATTAGTATAAATGCCACAATTCAAATAATTAGAATGGAACCTAGAACCCCCAGCCACATGTTATATTTTCTAGGTGATACATTTTTATAGTTCTTTCCCCTCAGCCTACACAAACCTCAGCTTTTCCTTTCCTCCCCTCAATTCATCCTTAGGTTGCAACTTAAGTATAAGTGCACTGGTGGCCTTGTTTCTGGACCAAATATAGACACACACCCACAGGTCCAGACTAGCTAATATGGCTATCTCCATCTGATCGCATCCTGTACTGTCTATTTTAATTCTCACCTGTGTTATCTCTCTCCTATTGCCTATTTGTTTGCCTGATCCTTCCGATGCCAATTCCCAGTGAGTGGGAGCTGTAGTTGGTTCACATTTGTATTCCCAGTGCCTATCATAATACAGAGGAAGTGCTCTGCAAATGCCTGTTGGCTAAAAGTGTAAAGTGGTAATTCAGCATTTGAAACCTGAGGGTGTGCTTCGAGGAATCCATTCTTTGCCAGTCATGTTTTCTATGCCATGTGGACAGCTGTGCAATATCATGCTGACTTCAATAGCCCCTTGGGGCTTTTGACATTTAATAGCTTGTAGGTGAAATCACCTCACCTCAGAAAAGCCTCAGATCTGCAAGAAAAATGGAATTGTTGGTTGTCACTCTCTAACTTTTTGACTCAAATTTCATGTAAAATGTCAAGGTTTTATCTTCTAAAACAAACTAGAAACTAAATCCCTTTATGCTTCTTTTGGATAGGGTCACCCGGGTACCAGCATTTAAACCTATATCAGAGAGATAGATAATCATACAGGTGTGAAAAAATCACACTGTTCTGAGGCCTATTCCAGACAAGGCAGAAGTTTTCAACTGATTCATAGGAGCAAACAGATTAAAATGGAAAAAGAAAGACAGGAATTCACACCTAAGAGATGAACATACATTTACTTTGACCAACTGTACAATGGCCAGGGTGATATCTAATCAACTAGTATTGTCTGGTAAAATCTAAATGGAGGCTAGTATAGTCCTTCTTGTGGTCAGTGTAGATTTATACATATCTCCTTTACTAATTCAAACCAAACTAGTTCCTGGGGTATCAGAATAGTAGGATTCCTTCTCCACAAAGGCAGGTTGTGTAATATTCAGTGACGGCAAGGAGGACATAACTCTGGCACACAGATTGATGACTCTGGAGGAATCAAAGTCTGACTGCTAGGAACTGACGCTACCACTAGAATACTTTGAGGTTCACCATTGGAGTTTGAGAAAGATGTGTGGTGGCTTGTATCTTTTTATTTGCTAGGAAGAGTCAAAGTTCAACCCCTGGGTAGTTTTTCTGTTGCTGAAACAGAATACCTGGCACCTATAAATTAAATGAGGAGAGTGTTTTTGAGGCTCACGGCTTTAGAGGTTTCAGTCCGTGACTGGCTGGTGCCAAGAACAGAACCAGCGTGATGGAATGTGCGGTGAAGCAAAGCTACTGACTTTATGGTCAGAAGCAGGGCAGAGGGGGAGAGTGCCAGTGAGACATAAACTCACACCTTCCAAAAGAAGAACCTCAGTGATTAAACAAGCTCCTGAGTCCCAGTAGCACCATCTACCATGAACATGAGTGGTTTGATCCACTGATGTGTATAGCATCCCCATGATGCAATCACCTCTCCAGGATTCCCTTAATCTACTCAGGTTAGTCACTGGCACAGGTGAATATCCTGATAGACATTTCTGACTTTTGTTAACTCTCTGATGGTTCCTATCACCTAGCTCTCTCATGCCCCCTAGATTCTTTTATTCCAAAAGTGAACTGTGGCTCATCCTTCATTAAATGATGTATCAGTGTAACCATCGATCCAATGACTAATATTTTCAGCTTGCTGTTAATGTTGAGATGTCAGTTCGGGGCTGGGGACTTAGCTCAGCAGCACAGCACCTGCCTGGCAAGTGTGAGGTCATGAGTTCGATTCCTGGTACCAGAAAAAAACCAAAAAGCCAAAAAAAAAAACCCAGAGAGATGTCAATTCCTGAGTAGGATTATAGGATTGATATTAGGATCATATAACTAGAAAAATAATTTGGTTTTCCAAAACTATAGAAAAGTATAGAAATATTTGATATTTTTCCAAAATAAAAGTAAATGTTTTTCTAAATTTTTAGAACTAAAAAGCAGTAAAAATACATATATATATATAAATTATTTGACTAAATTCTAGTCACAACCACACCTTGAACATATCTAATCTCATCTGAATAGTAAACCCTTACCAAGAATATAACTACTAATATATAGACAGAACTATTTCAGAGCAACATTTTAACACACTGACATTTTTGTGTTATGAAGCATTTAGCAAGTTCAAATTAATTTTAAAAGCTAATATAATTTAGAAGTAAATCTGGATACACTGTCAATTAAAAACAAAATTTCAACCCCAGAATGATACCTGTAGACCTTACAGTGATTCACAGTCACAGGTATAGTGAAAAACAGTGAGAATTTTCAGTGTCAGCATCTCCCCCACCAAGGATCCCTGAGTGCTACTAGGGACATTCATCATCCCAGAAAGAAAAGGAGAAAGTGCCAGGCACCATCTGCACACATGTGTGAGTGTTCGCCAGGCATCCCTAAATATCCTCATGATGAAACAGTACCGAATGCATCACCAGGATCGCGTCACTTCAATTCAAGTCTCATGGGGCTGGGGATTTAGCTCAGCGGCAAAGCGCCTGCCTGGCAAGCACAAGGTCGTGAGTTCGGTTCCCGGTACCAGAGAAAAACCGAAAAACCAAAAGAAAAACCAAAAATAAAATTCAAGTCTCAGCTTTCTCACATTGAGCAGATTTTCTGCTTCTAAAACTTTATTTTGCCCTCAGAAATGAACAATGAGCCTACCTGTCTTGAAGCTACTATAAAGATTAAGCAAGGTCATTTTTTAAATTGCATGTTTAGTGCAGCATCTGACTCATGGTAAGAGCTCAGTAAGGGTTAGCCACCTGGGGAAGCACATGGACATACAAACTTCAAACATTTTTGCTGAAGTCCTTCAGTGCATCTATTGTTACAGTGTTTTTAAAGATTGCTCTAATTTTAAAGTTGCCAATGTTAAGTAACATCTCTGTGAAGTTAAATTTTGGAAAACTTTAATGAAATTTCCATAAATTATATTCTTTTACATAATTTACTGTTCAAAATGGATATATTGTTCAGGCTTCATAGGAAATGCAGGTTAATCATATAGCATGGTTTCTTACTTTGAGATTTTTATAGTCATTTTTGCAGAATTTAGCAAATATTTGAAAAAAATCCCTTTTTAAAAGGGATAAAATCCATTTAAGTACCTTTGGTTTATAATACAGTACTTCTAAAATCTCTATAGTATCTATTTAAACAAGCTAACATACCTCTCAATACAAGAATATAGGAAAAAGTTTAAATCCCTCCTCTGTAAGGTAGTTTATAAGGAATTGTTCACTTTGATAATATACAGGCAACTATGAGGTTTAAACTAAAAATAAACTTTCTTACCATTGCATTAGGGAAACCAATTATGAATACTTTTTCAAACTCAAAAAGCCTGTATTTGCTCTGGAAGTCCTAGCCTAATAGAATAAATCAATCAATAAAAATTTCCTCTCTATTATCTCTCTATGACATTTACATTAGTTTAATCTGCTCTAATGTTTGACACCGTGATATTTTAACTGAGGTTTTTTTTTTCCCTCAACGTGTGATCTGAAACCATGGTAAAAAGGCACCCAGGAACTTGACTGGCCAATCTGAAAAAAATATTCATTTTCATGTCCTAAGTTAAAAACAATCTTTTAAATTAAAATAGTTTTTAAAATGTGTCTGAAATGACTCAAAGAGTACTCAGATCAATAAGCACTTCATATTTACTGTTTTGCATTTTTCTTTGTTAGAAGATCACCCATGTGCAATCAACCGTCCATCAACAAAGCCACCATAACAGGTAAGAGAGATGTGGATGCGTCTTCTTGTCCTTCTGGGAAGTAACTGTATCTTCTAAAAGTCAACATAACGCTACCACCAGCTTATACTGCAAAACTAAAATGTTAAAGAAATGAATTTTTTCTTCTCTACATTATTCTCACTATTGTTGACATCACTGGTTATCCATTTAAACTGTTCCTTGGAAAATCTTCACTAATTTTCTGTATTTTTAACCATTTCACTTTGTGCTTGGACTCGATATAGGCTTGCTCTGGGCATTTGCATTTTGAGAGGCAGAGATATCTTTGGAATGTTTGCTATCTTGGATCCATGTTTGGTTGTCAGTGTGGTCTTAATTTAATTTTTAATCTAATGAAAGTGAAAGTGTAAACAAAGGCCTAACTTTTTGTGTAACCCACATCCCAGTTGTGTGTAAGAAGGGACAGTTACTATTCCAGTCATCCTTACTGGGGCTGGGAGAGCTAAGCAGCTGAATTTGTGAGGGGAAAGAAAAAATTGTTATAATATGGAAATATTCAATGAGATCAAAAGAAAAAGATACATGGATGTTTGGGGGGAAAAGTTGAAAGAAGGATGAAGGGAGTCAAAGTCATACAACAAAATTATCCAAGTTCGTATTAGTCTGTTTTACACAGGAGACTTGACCCCAATTGCACCAAAAGCAGAATGAATGATCTCATTTTACTGAGTCTGAAACCAAGTTAAATTTAATCATTTATTGAAACCACAACTGATTCATTAAAATAGTGGCCTGAAAAAGAAAACCTATGACTTCTAAAATTACTACCAGAAGAAAATTAACATACCTTCCAAACTAGACCAATACTGCATTTGATTCAGATGTCTTTTTTGGACCCCAATCCATAATATGCTGAGGAGTTCCTATGAAGTTTTCAGTAAGTAAATTGTGCTTGAAATTTTACTTTGTCATGTCCACTCAAATGGTCGTGATTATGGTCATCATAGATGACTTGATTCTGGAACAGTTGTTAATGTTGTCTTCTTTTCCAAAAGCCTAGCAAGTGTAATTTGTGTTTCAATGACTATTTAATTATTGGTTCTCTTTTCCATGTTTGCTTGTCAAGTTCTTGCTGGTGATGATTTTCTATGGTTTTCTAAATTTCTTCTTCAGAAACTCAAAGTCAACATAAACGAGCCTAAACTAAGATGGAGGTTGGACCCAAATATATCACTTCTATGCATTTCCCTGAGCCTGCTGGGAAGCAAACAGTTCCACTTTGAGGAGCATGCGCCTGGGGCCTGTAGTGAAGGAAAGGCTGCTCCAGACTTCCAGTGCACTCCTATGAAAAGCAATTACTGTCCTCCCTCCCACTCATGCAATAAGACTGACTTTGTGGTTTGAGTAGAATACGGTGCTTGTCTGGTTTCTGACAGCTTTTTTAGGCTCAGAAGGTCACATATGAATCTCTGTAGCATCCTTCTAGAACAGCTATAGGTATCAGTGCAAACTGTGTCCAGTAAAGATGATTGGGTGCTGCCCATCACAGATCCACAGGAGAGCAGCCACACTCAGAGAGTACAGACTTGGTCTTGTGTACTTGGGAGAAAACCCATGGAAGTCTCTAAGTATTTTCACAAAATACTGAGACCCCGGGGCAATGCCTAGAGAGAGAACTAAAAGCTACAAGAGCCAGGCAACTGAGGTTAGTACTGCACCCATTTGACCCTGACTTTAAGTCTACAAAGGAGCTACAAAGGTATAAAGGAATGAAAACAAATTATAGAAACTCTCAGTAACTCCTTAGAGAACTGGGCTTGTAAAACATCCCAACAGGAAATTGCCTGACTTTTCCTCTTTTTCTTGCCTTAACATTGCAAACCAAGGTAGGAACATGGGAAGGGGTGTGTGGGAATGAGGACAATACCAGGGAAAGCTCCCTTTCTCTGAGCTCATTCTGAAAAAGAGAACCCATAAACCTTAAATAATAATAATAATATGGATATTGGTGGTTGAGACTTTGATGATAGTAAGACTTGAGACATCCAGAGAAGATGGTAGTTGGATGTTCCCTCCATGCTCATCGCCCCAGAACCTAGCGGTGCCTCTGCAGTATGCCTGGGAAGGGAGGAGAGGAGCTGTAAAGAGCCACTGAGGCACCCTTTGGGTGAATAAGGCCTTCTTAGAAATTTTGTTCAAGTGCTACAGGGGCAGTACAGCTCAATAGTGATGGTCACGGCTGAGCCAGGAGGCTGTGGCGGTAGTATGCGCAGTTCTAGGCACCCTGAAGGGTTTCACAGAGCGTCGCTCACATGGTGCACAAAAAGTGGTACAGTGGGGGAACTGTATCTGTGTACAACTCAAATCCAGGGCTATGTGGCCCCGGACAAGTTACATACCCTTTGTTTACCTCAGCCTTCTCGCCCTCATACAGTTCTTGCTAGGTGGAATGAGTTAGCCAGTGTGTGCTTTTTTGCACGCTGTGTTACCAAGAGTGGTCAGCGGGTCTTTTCCATTTTATCTTGCTGTTTTATTTCTAGGGCCCACTCTATACATATGTAGCACCAGTGGTGTCAGTTCAGACTGCTGTACAAAGTACCGTAGACTGGTGTTCATAAATTTATAAACCATATACATTTATTTCTTATAGTGCTACAGGCTGAATGTCTGAGATCAGGATGCCAACAGGAGCAGGTTCTGGCAAGGTCCCTTTTCCAAAATGGAAAGAGAACAAGAGATTAGATCCATTAGTAATGTCACTAATCCATTGACAAGGCCTGCATCCTCATGACCCAACTGTCTTCCAAAGGCTTTACCTTCTATTACCACCACATCAGAGCTTGGGATTTCAATGGGAATTTTAGGGGCACATTCGGTCCATAGCAAGCGGTGGTAGAAAAGACGGGCCAGAAAGAAGAAGGGAGGGAGGGAGGCAGGAAGGAAGGAGAATGAAAGAAAGACAAGTTTTCAGGATTGTCAGAGTAAAATATGTGCATGTGCAACGTGGTCTAAGTGGATATATCTGTCTTGTGCCTGTCAAAATGGACCCTTCTGCTGTCCCAGCTCTGTGTCCTCCTGCTTTATTACTGTCAGGATGCCGGTGCATTTGTGATTCATGGAGAGACTGTTATTCAAGTCTTTACAAAGTCTGAGAACTTGCTTCTGGGTCCTAATTTCTGAGGAAAATTAACTCTTTCATTATAATCCAACTCTTTAATTATAGAAAAGTAGAATTAAGAACTTTAACTGTCTATATGTGTGTGTCATAATTTCTAAGGATTTTTCTACACATTGACCTCTTTGAGGTTCGATAAGCATTAAAGCCAGGAAATTGGGATTTCATACCATTAAAGTTAAAACATTAGAGTTAGTTGCCTGCCAGTTTTTATCTCTGTTTGCCAGAGGTAAGCATATAAGTCTTAAATTATGTGACAGTTCTTTCAGGATAAGTCTTCTAAAAGAGACTTACCACTAAGTAGCTCTTTGTCCCTTGGTGTGGTACAGCAAAAGGCTGGTGTGCAGCACTTTGAGCCTGAGTGTGATCTCTGTCTTGCTCATGTGGTTTATTTTTCTTCATTTAAATAATGGAGGAATAAATGCAGTACCGACCTGTCGGCCTGCTCATGGGATCAGGGAGCTAAGTTGTATGTAAAGAAGAGCGCTCAGCGGGCCTCCTGCCCAATACTTTTTGTTCCTAAAGCTAATTTTAAAACCGGAGGAGGCTGGGGATTTAGCTCAACAGCACAGCGCCTGCCTGGTAAGAGAGATGTGAGTTCAATTCCCAGTACTGGAAACAAAAAAACAAACAAACAAATAAAATAAGATAAAATCGGAGGACTCAAGGTGGCAAAGGACAATAATAGCATAACAGTTGTTCTACTGCATTTCATTTATGACTTTGTTTTCACTCAGTAGCTGCAGGACATTCATAGTTACCTTCTGGCTAGGAAAGCTCACCTGCAGGTTCTGTGGGGCAGCACCAGGGCATGTGAAAGCAGGAGAGGGCAGCAGAGAGCCCGAGACACCAGAGCCAGCCTGAAGGAACAGGGGATGTGGTTTCTCTGAGTAGCGCGGCGCATGTGTGTGGTACAGTTGTCCTTCCACTTACAAATGGTGTTCAGAAAAGTGTTCTGGGTCTGCCTTGTAAAATCTTATCATTTCTTCTCAATCTCACTTCCAGCATGTTTCTGAATTTCTGTATTTTCATCCTCTTTGTTACAATCATCCTCAACTTGAGGGTTTTCACACAGGAGTGTGACTCCGAGCTTAAATTCCTTTGTTTGAAAGGTGAGAAAACCAAGACTTCATTACAGAAACTGCTATTTAGTGTCACAGCCAGGAATAAACATATTGTTTTTCCATGTCCAGGGCCATTCTCACACATCGATACAATAAAATAAGAATAAGGTGGCTTTCAGACTCATAGACGTATATACTTCAGAGAAAGTAAAAAAAGTATTGAAGAATATTCATTTCTCAGTCATGGATATGGAAATGGATTATTTTACACGCAGTTGAAAATTAGAAAATACTTTCTTCTAGTTCTCACTGAATATGTATTTATAGTTAGAGGTGTTTTAATTTCAGCCACTGATTCTCTATCCTAGAGGCTAAAATATAGCCAAGCTAAGGCAAAGGACTTTGGATTGTGGAGAATACAAGGTCTTGTATTCAAACAAAGACATTGGTGCAATTGCCTTCTCTTTACTTACAGAGACACGTGATGTAGGGGTGTGCATGAAACCACACAGAGGCAGTTCCAGCCCAGGAAAGAATAGCAAAGACATTTAACTGGACCAACTATTTTGCTGTTATTTGAGCTGATGATGCAATGCTTTTAAGTCTCTGTGTATACCTGATAAAAACAAACATATATATATAAATAATTATAAATATATGAAAAAAATATATATGATAATATTTGAGATCAAGAGCCACCTAAAGAGGAGGCACACACCTGTAATCCTAGCACTTGGCAGGCTGCAGTAAGAGGATTGCTGTGGGTTCCAGGCAAGCCTCGGCTGCAAAGTCAGTTTAAG